CCTGTTTGCTTCAGTGCATGGCTGCCGGCCGCCATCTTGGCTGACAGTTAATTTGCATAAGGATATGCTGATTAGCCAATGGGAAGGGTAGCGGTCGTACGCTAATTACCATGTTTCTCTTTTATTAGTGTAGATTAGAAGCCTGCTATGCCAGCCCCTAATGCGGGGAAGGGAAAGGAGCTGAGGGCAGTAGCTTGACTGTGGAGGATGAGTGAGGGTCCCAGACCAGGGAACATAGTCCCAGGGTGATGGGAAATTTGGGGAAGGTGAAGAAGGAGCTAAGGGTGACAGGAACAGGGAAAGGAATTTGGAGAGGGAGCTGAAAGATGAAAGGGTTACCAAGACCAAGCTCTCTCAGCTTCACAATTTTGTATCAGTTTTGTTTATGGCTTCCTAGGGATTTATGATGGGAGGCATTTGGATCAAGGAATAGGGAGGAATAATTTCAAACTGCAGTTGACTACAAAGGCATTGTGTGTGTGTGTGTGTGTGTGTGTGTGTATGCAGTGCAGAAGGCCAAATAATTCTCATTTTGCCATTTTCGACTGTCACAACAGGCTTTGGGGAGGCTATTTTGGTCTGTTTTTGTCATTTCATATACATGCAGGGCTGCTATACTGTGATTCCACGGGCTTAAATGGTGCTTTGAATTACTGTTCAGTTTGCAGAGGTGAGGTTTTGTCTTGCCTGAACTCTCCAGCTTACCATTGCTCAGCTCATTCCCTGCAAATGAACTGCTGGTTTTTATTCATAGCAGCATTTGCTACTAGTTCAGCAATTTCCTTCTTTCAACATTCTCAAAAGAGCGTTTACTGGTTCTGGCGAGTTAATACTACTCCTACAACTGTGATCCATTCCTGTAACATGGGGGAGTTAAGGCACTTCTAACTTTTAATTTCTCTTAAAATGAGCTTATAACTTCCTACCATCCCCGTTTGGCTGCTTTTACAACTGACAGTGTTTTAGCTTTATTTCTTTGAAAGAACACCCAGAGGAGACACATTTTTGGCTTGGAAATCCTACCTAGTTCAATGCCTGGCAATTTCCTCCCATACAGACCTTCATAAATGTCCTTTAAATTTGAATTCTTTTAAAAATAAATATGTTCTTATTGATTTTTTTAGAGAGAGAGGGAGGGAGGGAGAGAAAGAAACGTGGACGTGAGAGAGAAACGTTGATCGGCCACCTCTCACACTCACCCTGATCAGGGATCAGCCCGTAACCTGGGCATGTGCCCTGACAGGGAACTGAACTGGCGACCTTTTGGTGCACTAGCCAATGCTCAACCAACTGAGCCACACTGGCCAGGGTGATTTCCCCCCTCTTTTTAGAATATTTTTAAGACTCAGTGGGTGCCATGGAAAAAGGAAATTCCTTTGGAATGTTAAACTCCCTGTAGCCAGCTGTGATGCAGTTGTTCAGGGCAGTGAAAGAACTGTGTGTTTGGTATTTGGTAACAATGTCAACCTGACTCTTATTTCTATCTCTGAATGAATGATGATTTCACAAACCAAGGAGAACAACATTTTTTTACACTCAAAGATCAATCCTATATTGCAAAGGCAAAAAACGGTTGTGGTCAAAGTTCAGTTGGGTTTTATTTTCAGTGTACCAGATGTGTGGCCTTGGGTAAATGACTTTAACCTCTCTGGGCCTCAGTTTCCTCATCTGTAACTGGAGATATTATTAAGCACCGACTTGATAAGAATTAGATAAGATCATGCACACAGAAACTGGTGCTTGGTCATTGCTTGGTAAATGTTAGTTATATGACCCTGATCGTATTGACACAGACAATGCTGGGCTCCCATATCTCTGCCATTCACCATAATGTTCATAAACTAAAATAGAGAAGAGCTAGTGTAGGTTCTAGCCACTAAAGCAATGACCTTTATCAGTCGTTTCTGTCATAATGATTGGCCCATCTTTAAAGAACCCAAACTGCCTGTTCAGTAACATTTCTCATTCATTAGGTGAAAACAGTCTCTGACAAACAGACATTTCTGCCTATGGTATCAAACAGTCCTTAAAATAGAGTAGAAAGAAACAGTAGAGCAAGTCTGTCTTGTGGGAAATGTGTAATGTCATTTTACTTTGATATCGGCAAGTGCCCTTGCAAATCAAACTCACCACACTGAATCCTTGGTGAGTTTGGAGTTCACATTCCCATCTTCTTGCAGGAAGATGTCCATTTGCAAATTGGCATCATTATCATGAGCTGAGAAATAATTGGTAACAACTCTTGCTGGTATCCCAAGGCATCGCAAAACTGCAGGAAAGAAAGACCACAACGAACCATGTCACCAAAAATTAATAAATACATAGGGAGCAATCCCTTCTCATAGGGACTTCCTTCTTTGACAATGTCAAAGGTCAGAAATAGCAAGAGTAAAACCAATGAATCGCCAAAGTAGTAATTAGTTTATTGTGCATATGCCAAAAATACAGTTCACTAACCAGGAACACTCAAAACAAAACATGGAAGGAGGTACAAGGATATATTATCATAAACCAGCTTATATAGTGAGGAAACGGTGCCTGTTTATTCTTTACAGTGATTGGTTATATTAGGATATTCTTAAAAATAGGGAATTGGTCAGCGGTTACCTTATTTTATTTATTTATTTATTTATTTATTTATTTTTACCTTATATCGACCTTAGGAAGCAGGTTAAGGTTTGCCCATGATTTTCATATGCATAAGCAAGAAATGATCAAGGTCATGTTAGCCTTGCAAAATAAGCTCAAGTGAGCTTTGTATGAGCAAACTGTTTCTGCTCAGGAAATCTTCTAGGCTAGACTGTGTTTTTCATTTTAATGCCAACTTGAAAAGCCCCATTTGTACATGTTGTCCTCAGATATCCCTTGCTGGAGAAAGGGCTATTCTCAGGACCAAAGTTGCAGAGAGAAACCTTGCTGCAGGGTCATTCAGAATTGCAGTTGGGCCAGATGAAGTCAGCTGGAACAGAAGCCCAGTAACAGCGTTCCAATGTTTGTTGCAAACCATACGATTGTCAAAGTGGTATTATTTTAGTCCAGCTAAGGGGACTATGTTTCTGAAAATAAAATTTAAAAATAGCTAATAGGAAGCTAGGAGTGTACAAAGCAGGTCCTCAGTGGGGTTTGCTTTCTCGGATGGAATTTGCTCTGTGACACTTGCTGGAGGGTGACACCACAGATTCATTTTAATTGTTAGGTAACAAATTGCCAGGATGCATCTCTTGCCATATGTACCTATTGATTAAACTTAATCCAAATGCCCTCCCTGGCTCCCAGGACACCACACATCAGGGCTCATTAAAAATAATTCTGCTGACAATTTTAAGATTAATGACTTGGCTAGCCTTTTATTTTCTCAGAATAGTTTAGCATTTTTAACCAAAGACTATCCACCTCCTTCAATAGAACAACCTTGGAAGTTCACAATGGAGTCTGGAAAGGTGAAGCTTGACACTGGGGCACTAGGACTTCCTTCCCTCTGACTTCCCTCTTTGGGTTTATTCTCATTGTCCTTCTCCATATCATGCTCTGCCTCTTCTAACTTTCCATCAAAGCCTGGAGTAGATCTGGTGACCCTTTTATACAAAAGGCATAAATGGATGGAAGGTGCTCACTATTTCATCTGGTTCTAAGCCTGAAGGAATTACACTGGGATAATGAAATTGTATGTAGCAGGACATGGGAAGGCAGAGGGCCCTTTCGGTTTTCCTGGAAGCATTTCATAAGAGTGGCTGCCTCCATTGGGTGCTGTAGTCTTAGCTTGCAAACCATGAGGGAGGGGAACTACTATCTTGAAGTTCATGCTTCTCTCTAGAACTTCAGAGACCAGCCCTTTCAGGAGACAGATACATTGACCTTGATTGCTCTCAGGAAATATACATATTTTCCTTTAGTCCTTGGGTATACTCAAATGGCTAAGAAAATAATCTTATTCATTTGATGCCAGGGGGAAGAAAAAAAAAACACACCATAATACAAAACTCATGATTTCTCCTCACTTGGATCACTGGCTAGTTATTTTTTAAAAAATATTTTAAAATTGATTTTAGAGAGAGAAGAAGGAAGAGGGATAAAGAGATATAAGCATTGATCAGCTGCTTTCTGCATGCCCCCTACTGGAGATTGAGACCACAACCCAGGCATGTACCCTGACCAGGAATTGAAACTGGGACCTCTTGGTCCATCGGATGATGCTCAAGCCACTAAGCAATACAGGCCAGGCTAGTTCTTAGACCATAACAACCTTGAGTTGAAACTGACAGACTTCATAATAATTTATTTTTAAAAACGGTCTTATCCCTGCTTCTAGCCTCTGACCCCCACCTTGATTTTTCTGAATAATAATAATAAAAAAATGCTAGCTTAGTAAAACATTCTTTATTAATGAATAAGCAGAAAGGACACTCAAATTTATGCTTGATGTTTTCTCCAAGACTGTAGAAATGGCATGTGGCTGAAGAGAATAATTCTGTTCCCATATGCTTTCTGCTATGGATTGGATGTTGGGTGAATTAAAAGCCAGAAAGGAAGCTAGGGAGTGATGATTGTTTATTAACTTCTGATACCTAATTGCTCAGGGGCATCGAGACTCACGTGTAAAAAGGGAGATTAAAAAAATGGAGATGAGACCACCTGCCACAATCCCTTTCATAGCTACACTAAAATTAAATAGATACATTTACAAAACCTCTCAGTGATAAACAATAAGCAACTAAGCGTATTTATAAAACTTCTCAATAACAAGTAAGCATTTGCTATTATTTTTTTAATTTTAAATTTGGCTAATTTAACCCTTTTTAAATGTTGGGGGCTTACTGAAAAGAAAATGCCATATTCTTACCTCCACATCCTTACTTGGCCCCTGGGACTTTCCATTTCTCTGGATGTAGAATGATGGATTATGTAGGAAATAGCCCATCATTCTTTCTATAAAGACTCTGAAGTCAAAGAGAAACTATGAGCATATATGGCCCGGAATAATTTAATTACACATTGACTACATCTCAGAACAGTCATCTATAAATTCTATAGTGCCAACGGGGATTGCTAGGTCTCTTTGCCAGGTTATAGATAAAATGCCATGAAGTGAAATTTCCTTTACATTAAAAACATATTACTCAGTTGGATACTTACATGTGTTAAAGACACCAGCAAAAACCCAGCACTGACCATACCGAACTGGATTCTGAGAACTCTGATATTCCAACAGAATGTCAATGCTTCCAGTCCAGGCTGATGGGGGCACGCCATAGGCATAGACATTGTCCCAGGATCCAACCAGCACACCTTCATCATCTTTGGAATTAACCTAAATGAGACCACAGGTGGTGAGAAGAAAGAAATGTCATTTAGAAAAGTTTCCTCCAGACTCTGACATTAGGCAAGATAAGACTTCCAGTGTCTTCCATATATCCTACGTGATGAAAACAGTTCACTTTTGTTTAATCCACTGTTGTATTGTCAGGGAAAGTGATGTAATAACTAAGTGTGCAAGGGGAAACCAAATAACTAGACTGCCTCTTAAACAGCATATAATTTTAGTAATGCAAAAGGTGTATAGGTAGAGCGAGGGGCCAAAGTCTCATGGTTTAAGGGATTTTGACTTTGATGATGAGTGGCAGACTCTAATGAATTGAAAAATTAAACAGATGCTGACATGGGAACCATTTAAAGTTAGTAAGAGACTTCTGGTCAAGATGGCAGCATAAGTAAACATGGTACTCACTTTCTCCCACAACCTCATCAAAATTACAGCTGAACTACAGAACAACTATCATTTAGAATCACCTGAAATTGAGCTGGTTGGAAGTCCTACAACAAGGGAATTAAAGAAGCAGCCATATCTAGACTGGTAGGAGGGGCAGAGATGCAGAATGGTCTCATCCCACACAAAGGTTGATAAAACTTAGGAGGAATATCTCAGTTGATGGAGGTCCCCCCTGAGAAGTGGGAGGTCCCAGCCCCACACCAGAAAATGCAGAATCTCAGGCACCTCCATGGACCTGCTCACTCAGAGTCTGAATTTTAGCAAAATCTTCAGGTTATTTGTGTCTATATTAGTTTTGGAAGCATAGGTTTAGACTAGACTGAGAAGACATTAGTAAGCAAAGTGAAACATGCAATTGAAACAGATGTGTTTGGATTGTGAAAACCCCATAAGATTTATGAAAATATGGTGAGTTTTTATGTGTTCACTACTTTGCCCACTAATGGATCAGCATTAGCCCTTGCCCAGACCCCTCGTAGGCTTGCTGAGTTTAGCTATATAGGAGTCTATCTATCCCAGTAGGCCATGAGTTAATTGAGAACAGAGATAAACATCTGTCTTTCTGACTTCGAGCAAGCATTGGCAAAGAACAGTTGCTCAAGTAGTTGAATAATCACTTATATACTCAACAAAAAGATAAGAGTTGTACAACTGGATAAGAATAAGACCATCTCCCTGGGGAGAGACAGATAAGAAACCAATCAAGTGCAGGTAAAGGTTACTGGTATTAAGACAGAAAGGTTGAGTGGGGGCCCGAAAGAGGGTGTAATCTGTTTTATCAGGCTGGAAGATGGTGATGGTGGTGTTGGTGGGATGAATAGGGGAAATGACATGAAAGGTAGGTTTTGAGGGGCTGGTGGCTACAAAAGGCCACCTATATAGTGGAAACAGTTCCAATAAATGCTTGGTGTCATGAGACAATGTGGCAGTGTCAGGGACCTGCTAGGAGCTCTGCCTGGGTATCATGTAAGAAGGCAATGTTGGATGAAATAGAAAATACTAGAAGAAAACAATTAAGATGTGAAAATAACTCCTACTCTCAATGACAAACCCTCCACTAAAATATGAAATTTACTCTATCACTGAGCGGCATTTCCCAAAGAGGGTCCTTCTGGGAGTGTTCTGTAGAAGATCCCCATTCAATTTGACTTAGACATACTGTTTTCCCCCCTTGACTCTGTCCAATCAGGTTAAAGTGAAGGTTACTACCCAGATAATTTGTTTAATGTAGAAAAAACTTAATTCTTTGAAGATTTCTGAAAGACCTTATTAACAAACTCATGCCTTTGATGTAAACTTTGACTTCATTCTGTAACACCATGAAATGACTGAGTCGCAACAGGGGTTAACCAGCCATTTTGGCTCTACTCATGATCACTACTTCTCACTGCAGTTGATTATCTAAAATTCTGCATCTATTATAATGGAGCCTGAAGAGTGCTTTCCAGAGCAATGATGAGGTTTGGTCTTTGTGGACAGATAGATTCAGCTCTAACTCATATGACCATTTCCTTATCCTTATCATTGAGAAATAGAATTGGTCTTATGAATCTCAGAGGTAAAAGTTTCTAAACTATGGTTCGATGACTGATTTTCAAACAGAAATCCATTAATTAGAAGCTATTTATAGCTTATGGTTGAACTCAATAAGCTAAGAGGAAGAGTAAGGAAAAAAAGTCATCTCCTCTACAGACCTTTTAATTGTTAATGCTGAGCTTTTCCCCTGTTGTTAGATAAATCACAACTATCATTTATTAGCATTTGGCCAGATTAGCTACTGTTTTCTAATTAGAACATTGATTTCTGGGAAGCCTAGACACTGAAACAGGTAAGTCTTTAGTTACATATGGGAAGGGTTAAAGTAATAACTTCCTCCCTACACAACAAGATATGTTTGGGACACTTCAAAGGCATCATTTTTTATGCCACATTGGGCTCTTTTAACACCCTATTATGAACTCAGAGATAGACCAGTAACAGAATGAAATGTCTCAGTTTTGCATCACAGGTGGTCAAAGACACAACATGAGCCCAGGACTTTGGACAGGGAGCATTATTAAACTTAATTAAGGTTTGCATGAAATTGTCTTCCCATAATAGCTACAATATGGAGACATGAAATACCAGCCCTCCCCAAAATGTCATTGTTAGCAACTCAGGTGCATAACATAATTCAATAAACTTTAAAATCTGGTTCCCAGAAAAGATGAGGATTGTGGAGTGAGGAGAAAGATAACATGGCTCAGCTCCTAACCCTAACCCTAACCCGAACCCGAACCCAAATCCTAACCTTAATCTTAACCATCAACTCTTCAGAAGCCTAACTGTCAACTCTACACAATCCTGAGATTTCTCATTTGTAATTGAAAATCTTGAAAGAAACAAACTGAATGAAAATGTAGTTCTTTTTCTTATTTTGACAAGAACAGTGGACACAAATGCTGTGGACAAATTGGTAAAAAAAAAAAAGTCTAAATCTCTGAAGAGGTAGAGATTCTGGGACAGTGAGAAATGATACAAAGCCTGAGAGTTATTCACCCATGGGAGTGAGATATGCCTCCAACCAGGTGGAGTGGATTCAGGAATGAGAAATTTGACAGAATCTTAAAAACCAGACCCCAAGTATTCTAAAAAAGATTGTCATTTCTTCAACTAAACTCCCTTCCTTGCTCCAATCTTTCCCAGTAGAGAGAATAAAATACATTGGCCTGAAACTGATGTGCAGAGGAGAAATCAAACTAATCTTAGATATGGAATAGTAAAGATATTATCTACAGTATATTCGAGCAAATAGACCAGTTGAAGAAGAGTTATACTAGTATGAACATGAATAAAAAGAAAAGAAGCAGTGAGGAAAGAAGGGAGGTGTAGGAGAGGGAGAATATTAAAATAATACTTGTATGAATACAAAATTAAGTAACACAAATAATTTTCTCACAATCTCTTAGGAGATCACAGAAAGGAAAAAGAATGAGGGACAAATTACATCATCATGGAACTAAACAATGATAAACTATAAGAAACAGAATAGATACTACTAAAAATATAATTAATGAAAGAAGAAAAGCTTGACATAAAGAACATACCAATGAAAAAGATGAAGAGACAAAGTTCTTTAGAGAAAAGCTAATAGTTATGAAAGACAAGGACAATTAGTGTCCTTAAAACAGAGAACCCAACAAATGAAACAGAAGATATATTCATGACATAAGAAAATTTTACCAAATTGAGAAAAAGTTGAATTTATACATTGAAAGAGAATCTGTGCTTCAGGGTAACTTGATGCAGAATGCTCATTGCCTAGAAACTTGAACTAATTAAGCTTTTTGAACTTAAGGATAAAGAAATAATACAGACAGAAAATGCAAATTAGCAACTAGGGAGGAAATTAGGCTGCCTTCAGACTTGTCCATAGCACCATTCAATGGCAAAACACAGTCAATCAAAGCACAGTCAATCAATAGTCCTGAGAGAAAGAAAGGTTGACCCAAGAATATTATGCAGAGCTAAGATGTTCTGCATCTATATTTGTTCTGCAAATATAAAGACAATCAGTGCGGATTTCAAACATGAAGCATCTCAGGAAATATAGCATCCATCAAAACCAAACTGCTTGAAAAGTGACATCAAGAAAATTACGGGCTGAATCAAACAAAGAACCCAGAAGCAGTGTGTGTGTGTGTGTGTGTGTGTGTGTGTGTGTGTGTGTGTGTGTTTGGGGGTGGGGAGGGGGAATCCAGTGGTGAGAAAATTCATTTCAGTATAAAAACCTTTGGGAATTAAAGTAGTAATAGAATGAATATGAACTATAAAACTTGATAATGTAAAAACAGTAATGATCCTAAGAAAAATTAGACATGAAGGAAAGAAAGAATAGGATTGCTAATGTTTTAACGTGTTGATCTCTCTTAGTTAATTGACATAATCTAACATTAAAGTATAATTTAAAAATATAATTACTTTATTCTTTTAATGGTTTCATACATTTTTAATAACCTTAGAGGGATCTGTTAGAAAATAGTATTTCTGGTAGTGAAGAAACGTTTATTTAAAGCTAACCATTTCCTCTATGGTAATTCAGTTTTCCTCTTCTGTGAAAAGTAAAATTAAATAAAATTAAATAAAACTTAAAATTTAATAGGATTTGAATACAATTAAGTGTAGTATTTTAAATTAAATAGCACAATCCTGTTTGACATAAATACAAACAGACCAATGGAACACAATAGAAAACACGGAAAGAGATCCCAGAAATATTGTTAACTAATTTTTGACAAAGTTGTAAAGGTAATTTCAGGGACAAAGAATAATCTTTTCAACAAATGCTGCTGGAACAATTGGATATTAATATGCAAATATGAACTTTGATTTATACCTTGCACCATAGACAAAAAATTATCTCAAAATGAATCATAGACCTAAATTTAAAACCTAAAACTATAAAGCTTCTAGAAGGAAACACTGGAAAAAATTTTGTACCCTTCTGTTAGTCCAGGATTTCTTAGATATAATACCAAAAGTATAACCCATAAAGAATATAT